CCTTCAGGCTGTTGTGTGTTATGTCTTAATGCTTGAACAGAAGATGGTTGTGGAGCAGGAGATGTCTGATGTTGAAGAGTACTAGGCTCTGAATGTTAAGGCTGGCTAAATGGCAGTATAGGTATGCTCATTAATTTTTGGGAAGCAGGATGTGCTGAACTAACATGTTGGTCATGCTCATCACCATCCACAATGTGAACTGACGATGTGTTACTCTGTACATGCGCACCAGCATAACACCTATTATCTCTCTGATAGTCATCAATCCTGCCTTGGATATCTTTAGTTCTCCACTTGTGGATGAGTTTGCATCTAAATATACTAGCCAAACTTTGGTCGGTACAATGCTTGATACACATACACGTTACCTCTTCAGCCATATCATTCAGCCGCTTTCCTTATCTGACATCATTCACTAGATCAGCAGCCTTGTTGATCCAAATCTAATAGTCAACTGGATTCTCCCCATCTCTGGGAACAGTAGCATAGAAGTTGGCAAGAGGTAGGCACAGAGGTGTGGACTCGAGTCATGTGACTTGGACTCGAGTCAGACTCGAGTCATGAATTTGATGACTTCAGACTCGACTTGACAAAATATAAAAAGACTTGCAACTCAACTTGGACTTGAACATAAATGACTCGGACTTTCACTTGGACTTGCGCCTATTGACTTGTAAAGACTTGCTACTTTCTACAAAAAGCCCAAAGATAAAAAGTATGTTGACACAGAATGCTCTATCTCTGGGTGTGTGTGCGTGTGTGACAGGGAGCATGCACGCATACTTTAGACCACTAGCACTTTGTGGCGCACTTCCGTGTTTTTGCACCAGCGGGAAATTTGAAGATGCCATTTTCATTCTAACTCGGAGAGTGAAATAAACACATCCGCGATCTGCTCCTTTTGTTTTATTCAGCGGATTTACAACATCTGTCAAAGGTAAGAGACTTTACTACTCGCAATGTGTTACTGTTGTGCAAAAGCATTGTTTTACTGTTGTGTATAAGTCAATGAACTTCAATTTTTTAAAACCAAATTTACCCTCTCGTGATTTATATCATATAATTATGAATGAACATGGCTGTAATTTATGTTTTTGCACTTGGTCGTTTGTGTCAATGCGCATATTATGTTTTATCTTTGTGTTTTGCCCATCCTCTGACAGTATTATCTAACTATTTAATTAGTAGTAACATTAATTACATGCCATAATAACTAGATATATAATTTATTTTTAAAGCTCTCAAAACTGTAAAAAAAAAAGTTTTTTTGTTATTTTCTGGTGACATTTTGCAATAAGGTTTCTTTAGTTAATCTATGTACTAACATGAACTAATAATGAACTATACTTCTAAACCTTTATTAATTATAGTTTAACATTTACTATTGCATTATTACAATTTAAAGTTATACTTGTTAACATTAATGTTAATGCACTGTGAGTTAACAAGAATTAACCAATAATTTTATTTCCATTAATTAAAGCATAAAATAATGAATACTGTAATGAACTGCACTGCATTGTTTGTTCACATTAGTACATGCATAAACTTAATTAATTAATACAACCTTATTGTAAAGTGTTACATTTTTCATATTTTGGATTAATACTATTAATTTATTTAGTATTTAAAACCTTAAAGGTATTTTTATTATTGTTGATGTTATGCCTCTTAGCCATATTTTAGTCCACTATATGGTTTTTAATTAATTTTTTTATTGCGAGATTGTAATGTAATGCATATATATTGTTGAATTTCTGTTTGTTTGTTTTTCTGTATTTCCCCCTCTATATTTAAGGATTATCTACTATTTTTAAAGTACTTAAAACCAACCATCTAATAAAAAATACAATTCACAATTACATTTTGTTTCATGAGTGTCTTTGTTCCTGTTTTGTAGGACTCTTATTTTAACAGATTTCATTTGGAAACACTTGACTGATCATTCAATTAAAGTTTTACCTTTATTATTCCATCACTCAAAGAGATCATTTAATTGTGAGTTGAATTACTCCATTTGTAATTGTTTTTAAATAAACTAAAAACGAAGACTTGTTTTATTCAGTTTGTTGAATGTGAACTTCTTTACTTTACATATTAGAAGATATTTAAAACCACTATGAATGTATTTAAACTAATATTTAAATTTATATAACTGTTTCACTGTGGGTATTTCTATTTTAATTTATTTAGCACATTTATTGGCTATTCAAACATGAAAACAAGTTTTAGATACTTTGTGGCTCTAATAAATGGTTAAACATAACAATATCCCTGCAGAAAAATCCAGCTTAAACCAGCCTAGGCTGGTAAGCTGGTTTTAGCTGGTTGACCAGGCTGGTTTTAGAGGGGTTTTGGTCATTTCCAGGCTGGTTTCCAGCCATTTCCATCCTGGTCTTAGCTGGTCAGGCTGGAAACTGACCAGCAAAATCCAGCTAAAACCAGCTTGACCAGCCTGGTTTAAGCTGGACATAGCTGGTTTTAGCTGGTCATCTCCCAGCCTGACCAGCTAAGACCAGGCTGGAAATGGCTGGAAACCAGCCTGGAAATGGCCAAAACCCCTCTAAAACCAGCCAACCAGCCTAGGCTGGTTTAAGCTGTTTTTTCAGTAGGGATTTTTGACAAAATGTTCTAAAATGATTGTTTACAAGTGCCTAAGTGGGATTCGAACCCCGTTCTTTATGAAAAGAAAGAAAAATCTGATTGGCTCTGACATTACTTTCACCAGTGGGCAGGTACTTCAATCTGATTTGCTGGTCTCTCACGGGCGTATTCAGTCTCTCTGCGTTTGCTTGAGTTTTGTCCACACTGGCGCTTCATAATTTTCCTGCTTTTGCTCTACAGAGATCCTCCTGATAAATTGATTATTCCAGAATGTTGATATGGTTTATATATTGCTAAACTATTTAGTAACAATATACGAAAAACTATGAGGTTAAGGTAAATTCTATATTAAATACTAGTGTTTTTGAGAGTTAGGTATAATGCCTATGTTTAAGCCTAGTATTATTTACAAGTTGTTAATGAATGCTTCAGCATACTGTAGTATTAAGAATAGTGAACTAATAAAATGAAATACAGAGTGTAGTTTTACTACAGTAAAGTGTGGTGAATTGTAGTTTAATATACCCAATACTGTAAAAAAAACTACAGCACTGGGTCATTTGTTTATATTACACTTGTGTTACCATAGCAACTATAATATTACCCCAACAGATTAATTAAAGTACTTTACTATAGTACTGTTCAAAAGCCTGTCCATGCCAATAGATGTGTTCAGGGGCCCTGTGGAACAGCTTTTCCTCAAAATGAAGAGGATGACATGGAAAATGTCCTCCACAATCTCATCAATAATGTGGAAGACAGCAGAGACTAGTTCACTTTATTTTAGTTGCCATGATAAAATGCGATTGATAGTGAGATTTATTTAAAGAGTGAATAGTACAGTAGGCTATAATGCCAAATCAAGTTTTTCCTTATTTTTATCACAGTTACATTTCTGCTTGCGTTAGTTATATTTTTGTTTAAATGTTTTTTATTTGATTAGTATGGTGAACCTTTTGGATGTTTAATAAATGTTTGTAAAACAAAATGCATTCTTTACATCCAGCCTCTATTCTCTGTGTCTTTAAGTGTTTGAAACTGGAAATATCTCATCATAAAACATACAGCCAAAATGTTATGGTTTATTAGATAAAAAATTTAATATGTAAGTCTATTTTAGTATTTTGGTTATTGTTAATAAATAGTGCCTCAATATAAATCATATCAAAAAGCACAAAAGGAAGAGGAAACACAAGACACAAATTCTGTATATAATCTCTGAGAGCGCGCAGGAAAATGTGTGCGTGAGCAGTGCATATTTGAGAGCGAGAAAATTTGCGCGTGAGCAGCGTATATTTGAGAGCTCGCAAGCAGTTTTGTCCACAGAGGAAATCGGTGCACTAGCGTCACACAAGGTAAAGAGCAAAGTTCTTCATTGTTATGTGAAGAAAACAACGTTATTGTTTGTATGAAGTAGCCTACTTCATTTAGAATATGTGCTACCATTTTACATTGCTGCTAGACAGATTTGCATCTCCATCTCTTTAGCACACACGAGATTCAATTGACAAAATACCAATTTCACTCAATTTTACTTTGCAGCATACAGGAGTTGTTGGTCCACTGCTGCCTCATTGAGGTTGTTTATGTAGTTTTAGTTAATCACAAGTTGATCACTGAAGACATAACATAGCACAACTAAACTTAATGAACTATACAGCAGTAGACCTGCAATTTCTGTGTGATGTGAGGCAAAAATGGACTCTTTTTTTGGTGGAACTCATTCTTGTGCAATAGACTGTGTAGACGAGACGCAGCACTGTTTAGCACTTTTTCAGAAAATTACATTTGTATCTTTATATATCTAAGCAATGTTCTTTCATTAAAAAAAAGGTTTGTTTAATAAATACAGATCTTACAGCCATACATAATCTGTTTCAATTTTATTTTTCTGTTAAAAAGACTCGAAAATCAAACTATAGGACTTTGGACTTGACTTGAAACTTGTTGCCTTTGACTTGGGACTTGACTCGGGACTTGCCTGTCTTGACTCGGGACTTGACTCGGGACTTGAGGGCAATGAAAGGAGACTTACTTGTGACTTGCCAAACAATGACTTGGTCCCACCTCTGGGTAGGCATGATGAAGTCTCACTGAAATACTGTAGCACAATATTATAAATCAGCTCAGGGTTCTGCTTTACATCAATCATGCAATCACTAAGCAGACTAATTTGAATGATATCTTTTGCTTTTCCAGCTAGTCAGTTCATGATTTCCTCTTTCTGTTCTAAAATGGGGCATTTCTGTTTTCTTATATAAGCCTTGGAAGGAAATGTTCACAGTATGTCTGATGTTATTAGAGATGAGTTATTAAGTCTGTTTTGTTTATACATGTGTTGAAAAAATCATCTCTTAGGTGTGTGTGTATATATATATATATATATATATATGTGACGAGGGTATAGAGTAGGGTTTAAATCTCTGTAAATAAAAATAACCGACTACGCCACCCCAGGAGTTACCCAGGGAAACAACTATTAGAAAAGGACACAGGTTCGTTTCTCCCAGAAAGGCACAGAGACGTGAGTTAATGAAAAAGTACAAAAATATTTATTTGGAATAAAACTACCAAATGGTACGGTTCTTAAATACCTCAAAAACTCCCACTTCATTATTAAACACAAGAAACAATAAATAAACAAAACCAAACCAGGATTGGAGGTTCCCACTGACTGGGTACGAGTGGACAGACTTTACCCCAGCACACGCACACACCACAGTGCACTCAAAAAATCACGCACTCAGTGTCCACAGCACACGATAGAGAAACACCACCACCAGTGGAAAGTGACCCGTCATCCACCGGGGGAAACCTCAGTTCCTGAAATAAATAAAAATAAAAATCAATAACCAACAAAACACAAATAAGTGGGTCAATCAGGTTAACACCTACTTTACATGATCTAATTGAAAGATAGCTACAGCTGTATTTACACCATCTGACCTACACTAGACCCAACATTAACTGTTACTAGAAAGACTAAATTCACAAAAAGAATACTCTTAATAACGAAAAACAAAATCAATACTTTGCATAAATAGACACAACAAAAAAAACAGAAGAATGCTTATGTTGACAAATCAATTATCCAACACAAATAAACAAATGAAAGAATGAAGGGGAGCACAAAGCAGCACGCTAAGAGTTATTGCAGGCAGTCCCCGCTAGCAGCTGCATTGGTGGTGTCCAAGCGGCAGCCAATACGCCGCCGTTAGCATTAGCAGCAGTTGCAGACGGTCTCGAGTAACCACGGCAATAGCGATGAACACGGGAGCTAGTAAGCAAATGATACCAGAGGAAGATCCGACGTAAGAGAGAAAGGGGAAAAGGGAGGATCCTAAGGAGGAAAAGCGCAAACAAGCCCATTAACATGGTCCTTTAAATGATCACACCACATCATACGTGCTTCACTTACCAATGGGCGCACACTCAGACACGTTCTAAATCACTCGTTGGTCGATACAATACAGCGAGGTGCCGGAATTAATAGCTGTACAGCATGAAACACGCAGGTTAAAATGCGACTAAACCCCATTACTCAGCCAGTTCAAAGCCATCACATACCTGCAACTGAACAGTCATCCAGCCACCACAGCCAAGGGAAAAGCCACCGCCACACGATGCACTAGAACAATGCCAAAAGAGAGCTTAACGTGGGTCGATTCAAACAACTTACAAAATTCAGAACGAGCGCAGAGCCTCTACCTGTAGCCGCGGCTACAGACACCCAAACCAGTGCGTCGGAGTCGGACGTGACGCATCCCAAGCACCGACCAATCAGGTTTAAAAAGGCGGTGCTACGTGCCGATTGGCCGATGTCAATGCCAATCAGCTGCACAGCACCATCACATTTTGGTTACTCATATCAATCAGCTGCACTACACCATCACATATATATATATATATATACCCACTATTTAATGCAATATTTGTCCGAACAATCACCGCGAAACGTGTCATGTTACGAACCCACATGTATTGACACTTGTTAAACTACAGTTGGTACAGACTGTTCTTGTTTTGTCTGAAAACTAGCATGTTCTCTATAATTTTTCTGACAATTATTACTTGCATTAACAAAACCTGCAGATAGTAGTTTTAAACCTATTGATTCTCCGATCTGTGAACCTAACTGGCCCACCATATCAGTGAGGTGTGTAATTGCATCTCTCTCAATATTAGGAGTGGATGTACAAGGGCCTTCAGGTGGCGCTTGACCAACAAGAGTATTACATGTTACTAGATTTAACCCACGACCCATACTTTGGTCTATGAGAGACCTCGACCGGCCTACCCCCCTTCTGTCATTTTCTCTGTGCACCACCCCCAGAAGCACCAACAAGCCAACAACTCCTCCCTCTGTGAAAACTGTTAGTTTCCATAAATGTGCCATCCACATCAATCTCGTAATCTCATCTTTCAGCCTTTATTTACTCAGTTTTTTTCTCTTACAATCAGAAAAGAGAAAATAATTATCAGTATGTGTGTTTCAAAAGCCAGCAGAAGCAATCATTTCACAATAAATAAATAAATAAATAAATGTAAAAAAAAAAACACTTATCAAAATAATACAACTACAATATTCACGATGACCAAATCAGTGTAAATGTTTTTCAAAGTTCATGCTCCATCTGTGCAATGTAACTGTAAGTCAGTCCTTCAGTGAGTGTGTTTACTGTCTTGGTCCAAAACACCAAAGATCCAAAGAAGCAGCCTCAAAGTAATGAGCAGCAACCACAGCCGATCTGCATTGAGCTGATCAAAGTGATCCTCAAAAAAAAAAGCACTGTCACTTTAAGTGTGGTCTTGCGTCATTCCATAATACAATTCTATGATAGCAACATGTGATTTTACTATGAAAAACACAAAGCTTGATAATATTGCATTTGTTAATACATATTCACTGTTTAAATCTATAAGAAGCATTATAATTTTTTTAACAACTTAATCACTCTTTTATATCCAAAAAATAATGATACACTTTAATCACTATGTTTTCACTCCTGTGTTTAGAGCATGCTTGCCAGTAGCAGCATCAGCCATAATCTGCTGAATTTTGGTAGCTGCGCAAGGACAACTTAAAGAAAAACGCCTGCATTTTATTTAACCACTAAGGGGCACCAATGCATCAATCATATGTACTACCTTAATTTCATGTCATTCATCACAATGAATCTCTATTACCACTGTTACACTAGCAATATGAAAAATGTGTTTTATTGTGTTTTAAAATGCATTTTATGGTGTAAATGTATGCTGGTTTTGAGATGGCATGCATGACAAGAATGTATTTACTGCAAGTATTTTATAAATAGATTTATTTAGCAAGGATAAATCAAATAAGCGTGCAAAAGTAACTCCAGTATTGATTCAGGATTTGAAAAATTTTAAATTCAGCTCAGTCTCGTGCACACGCTAATGGTGGATATGTGTGAACAGAGATGAGCAGAAGCCCAAATCTACATTTGTTGACAGACAGATTGGGCTACCTTTTGGAATTATGGGAGATGTCAGCTTGACAATATTTAATTGGATGAACATTTTTTTAGTTTTATGCCTTACCCAGAATATAAAAATACATATAAACACATTTAGATCATTTACTTTAATCATTATTATTGGACTGTGAAGAAACTTTCAACCAGCACAACAAAAATGTTTCTGAAGACAATCACCTACTGCACCTTTAACCCCGAAAAAGCCAAAGCAGCGCAAACACTACCAGATTACTATGTTTGTAATAAGGAAAAATGCTGAACACATGCGGGCTGTAACGCCATGCCAGCAGAGGGAGTCCTCGCCCAACTACTGACTCAGCTCCGCTCCCTCTACAGTCACTTCCTGTTTGTTTAGTATTTCAGTGAGAGCTCAGGCCCTGCTTCGGTGCAAAGCATTGCCAGTTCAACTGCCTTACCAAGCATTTCCAAGAGACTTTCATGTTATTTGTTTGAAGATTGTTATCTGTCTTTGCCCTCTTGCTCTGTTTTTGACTGCTTGTTGTTTATTTTAAATTATGCTTATTTTTGCCTGCACTCTCACTACCTCGTCTGGATTTGCCCCTTTGTTTGTTGACTTGAATGAACAGCTTATGTGTTGCCGATTTTCCGCCTGTTTACTCACTGATGTCTTTGCCCAAGTCCTTTAATAAAACTTCTGCATATGGGTTCTATTACTATCTCAGACTCCCCGTTACACGGGCATTTTTCTGTCTTTCTTTCTTTTTACTGAACTAGTATCCAATAATGAAAACAGGAGATGCGTTAGAAACAAATACATGGCCAAGCAAAAATATCTCAGGGTTATTCAAATAGTGGCTACTACAAAATACATATATTCCTGACATGTGAGTACCATCCCACACTCAATACAATACAACTAATATGGTATAAATACACCACTACAAGATACAATTGAGAGAGATCGACTTAGAATGTCACTTACCAGTGTTATAATGATTTATTCTGCTGTAGTTAGAAGTTACGAGTTTTTTTTCCTCTAAGGGCTTATTATCCAGTCTTTGTCGCCATCTTGTGGATAAACATTGACAGTCTTACTCTGCTCAATCAGAGGCTTATGGCTGCCGACACGTTGTCTCTCAGAAATTATAAATATTAAAAATGGGCTCTATCCTTAAAAATAAAATCTAAACCACTACATTCTCACCTGAAAAAGCCTCAAACTGTAGAATTAAACTTGCTTGTCGCTGTATGTAGGCGGAGCAATACTGAAGGGTGAAGAGGTTGGATGTGTGCTGTTATTTGCAGTATATCTATCATTCATTCATTCATTTTCTTGTCAACTTAGTCCCTTTATTAATCCAGGTCGCCACAGCGGAATGAACCGCCAACTTATCCAGCAAGTTTTTACGCAGCAGATGCCCTTGTCATATCTTTGGACTGTGGAGGAAACCGGAGCACCCGGAGGAACAGAACACAGAAACAACAACTGAGCGAGGTTCGACCCAGTGACCTTCTTGCTGTGAGGCGACACCACTACCTACTGCGCCACTGCCTCGCCCTCCAGTATATCTATATCTCACTATATATATATATATATATATATATATATATATATATATATATATATATACAAATGATGTTCAACAAAACAAGGAAATGTTCACAGTATGTCTGATGTTATTAGAGATGAGTTATTAATTCTGTTATGTTTATACATGTGTTGAAAAAAAATCCTCTCTCCATTAAACAGAAATTCGGGGGGGAAAACGGGGGGCTAATAATTTTGACTTAACTGTGTATACCACAGAAAAAAGTGAAACAAGGACAAGAACAAGAACAAGGTACAAAAACTAATACTTAATTGCACTGAAACTTCACTAGGCTAAAAATCTTAGGACACACTAAACAGTGGTACTGTATGCTCCACCTCGTAGCATATTTTCCTTACATCTCTTTCTTCAGAGATTCCTTTAAAATCAGTGCGGCAACAGTTTAAATCTGAGCCTGTTTAACAGATGCTTTATATTGGCAGCTCCTGGTTTCCACTCCCCTCAGGACAACACTTATATAACAGTGACACATACTGTACACAGAACACACATGTGCACACACACATACACAAAAATACTTCTCACATTATAAAAACATGCAGAACGCCACATCCTGTTAATGTGCACAAACACACATGGATTCTGTGGTGCACACCATTCACATACACTGTGCTTTTGAACAAAGCAGGGTTCAGTTGCTTAACACTGCACTCACTCCACTTCTACAACTCAGAGACAAAGTTGCTTCTGAGCTTTAGAGTCGGAAATTCTCACTGCTGATCTAAAGCTCTACTTGTTTGTCTTTAGGTTTCTCAAAAGAAGGCAACTGGACAGAAATGGCATAATCAAGTATAGTTCAGCAGACTATGAAAAGGGCCAGATAATCTTAACTATAAGCACAAAGCTCCTCTGTAAGCAAAGACACTTTTGTGATGCTACTCTGCGGGTTGGTTGGGGCTTGGGTGAGGGTTGCAGACTGGTTCTTTCAACTGAAAGAGTGCTTAATTTAGCCACACAATGGTTTTGCTTTACAATGAGGGACTCTGAAATAGTCCACTTTGCAGAGCAACTTGACAGTGAGCAGTTTTAGTCACTGCCCGACTGAAGCCAACCCTACTGGGAAGCCATCCATTTAAGTAAAAGTATAATCCTATTTTGTGCCCCTGTACAATCACAGGAATGGCAAGAATGTTGGCTATTGGTAAGAGTTCTCCTGAGGAGCTGAAGTAATTAAAGTGCGGCACAGACTCTAGTGTTAGTCTGCGCTCATTATGTTTGGGTTTTCTTTGAAGCTGCTCAATAGAGTAATTATGATTTCACTCACACTTTATGTACAGTATGCTGGCCAGAATCCTCAGTGCTTACACTCTTCTCATGTGCAGATCAATTTTGCTTTATTTGCCGTAATTAAATCTTTGACATTGTGTCTCTTAAGTGCCTCAATCTGCAAGGCATTACTAAGGTTTTCCATGTGGAAAAGCTGTAATAAATTATAAAAAATACTACAAGCACAAATTTTGTTTATTCCATGTACTTGTTTGACAAAAGTCATGTTGGCATTTTTTCTTTTGGTTCATTATTGGAGCATTTGTGATATTTGATCAAATATGGCAGGGGGTTATAAAATATGATACGAGTGTCTTGCTCCTGCTATTTTAGCTAAACCCACCTGAGGCCGCTGTTTGTTTTGAGAGACTGACTGTTTGACTGACTGACCAACGAATCAACTGACCCACCCTCTTTTTTCCCTAAACCCAACCAATTTTATCGATTGATCCGCCCACTCATTTCACTAAACCCAACCGATAATTTTCAAAAGCAATCTAGAAAAAGAAAAGCCATCGTCTGATTTTTACCATGTTTTCAGATTTTACCACATTCTCACC